CCAAGCACAGAGCAGAAGCCTCCTGCTCAGACTGGAGCCCTGCAGGGCCTGTGTCCTGGGGAGAACGCGCCCTGTCCCTCTGGTTGCCATGATGGAGACCCAGCACTCCCTCTTACCTCACACTCTCCCAGGGGCCCAGAGATTCTGTACAACAGTGTGTGGGAATCTCACTGCATTTGACGTGGGAACCTGTGCAGGAAACGCTAGTGATTTGTCCAGAACAAACCATCCAGGGACTCCTGTCTGACCACTCCACAGACTGAGCTGCCATCGATTTCTTGATACCAAGACACAGTGACCACTCTCATCTCTGGCCTGGAGGCAAGAGGCACCTTCAACTTCACCCACAGATGGCACAGGGCTAGGAGTGATGCCAGAGAGAGTTGTAGTCCAGCACATCCCAGCACATCCGAGCACGTCTCAGCATGTCCCAGCATGTTCCAGCATGTCCTAGCTCATTCCAGAATGTTCCAGCATGTCCCAACTCATTCCAGCATCCCCTGCTGGCACAGGTCTGGGTGGCCCTAGTGGCTTTCATAGGCAGAATGTCTCCATGGAAGCGTTTATGTACAGATGTCTGCTCCAAGACCCCTCCTTGGTCAGGCACCTCTGCCCCTAAGCTCTCTCTGCTTAATTTTCCCCTGTGGCACCTGTCATGTTCCAACATATCACACATGTTACTTCCTTATGGGGAAGAAAGCACATCCTGAGCACAAGACCTGAGCTCCAAAAGGATGAGAGTTCTGTGGGTGACCCAAGGTTAGAAGAACCCCTGGCATGGGCAGGGCCACAGCAGGTTGTTGATTAAAAGAAGGGCAGGCGGAGGGAACAAAGGAGGCACCTCCTGGGACAGGCCGGCTTCCCCAGGGCCATGCACGGGAGCAGCTGCAGCTCAGCCCCCAGATGCCGATCCTCTTCAGGGTTTAAGTTCATCGACTATACCATGGGACTCCAGAGTGCAATTACAGTCAGAAGTGCTTTTTCACTAAGGTACATAATGATTCATGCTGAGAATGTAATTAAAATATTGTGGTAGTTTAAAAATAATACTCTATTAGGATAATACACCAAAATGGCTAATTCAGAGTGAGTGCTTCCTGCTTTGATTGCACCGCGGTTAGCATGGTATATCTAATGCTTTCATCTAAACGACGAGGTATATAAATACATCACTCGATGTGCAGGGGATCCTGGGAGGCTGACATTTGAGACTCTCTGTGCGCTCCAGAAGTGGCTGACAGCAAAGTCTTGAGCTGACTCTGGTTTTTGAAGTTCCGGCCTCAGGCTGCTGCAAAGATCCTCTAAATATCATCTCTGGACAGTCCATGCAAAGATCAGCTGGACACCCACCTGGCAACCTCTGCCTGTGACCTTCTGCAAATTGCACAGGTGGATTCTGAGTTCTGAAGGATGCATGGAGCCGGCACTGCCAGTGGGTCCCGTGGATGCACCAGTGCATCAGAAGGGCAGTTGGTCCCCAGACCGCTGCCTCCCTGGGCCCAAGCAGGGCAGGTACCAGTCCTTCCTAGGACATAGGGACCTGACATTGGCTTCTCTTACTTTTTATGGTGTCATGAAGCAATGATTCTCTAAACAGCACTGATGCTAGTGACCAGCACCTACTGAGAACTTACTCCAGCTGGGGCTTCCAGGCTGGCTGCACAGGAATCTCTAAGTGGATGTGTCCGGACACCATAGCTGTACTGTCCACAGAGCTCTGACTGGGCAGGTGGGGGTCCAGCTGAGGCTGGCTGCTGGTCAGGAGCCTCATGGGGACCTGGGCTTGTGCAATGCCGGAATATGGCTGCATGCTGAGGACAGCACCCAGTATTGTTGTCTCTGGGTGCTAATAAAGAATGGACAAAGAGTAGGTTAAGCAAGTTAAGCATGTGCTGAGCACAGGTGTTGTGTGACCCTGGGCCTATGTGCTCACCCAGCACCCCAGTGTGGGCAGAAAGGTCAATGTGAACCAAACCTGCTCCCTGTACCCTGTTGATGGCCTCAGTGGGCACATTCTAAGGTGGCAGGAATAACACAGCTCAGGATGGCTGGGTGAGCCTCCAGAAATCCAAAGTCACGGTGTTTGTTGGCAAGTTTCCTCTGAGGCCGTGAGGGAGGGTCTCGGTACCTGCTCTTGGGTGTTCCTTGGCATTTGAAAGCATCACCTCTTCTCTGTCTCCACTGGCTCCCTGTCACCACCTCTTCCTCCAAAGATACCTGAGAACCTCTCAGGAGGGTCTGCTGGTGGCCAGCCACCCCACCTTTCTGGGCTTGTGGGTGCATTGCCCCAGCCTCTGCACCCTTATGTCACGTTCTCCCCATGTGTCTGCCTGTGTCTGAGGACACGAAGAACAGTGGCCTGGGACCCACCCTAACTGCCTCAGCTTAATTAGCTGCATGTGCAGAGAGTGACTCTCTTTCCAAATATGGTCATTTTCTGAGGTTCCGAGAGTTAGGACCTTAACTGTCCCTTTGGTGGACACAATTCAATTCTCAGGAGGGAACCTGTTGTACTGTCCATATCAGACCCCCTGACTGAGGCAGAATCCCCTGCTCCAGGTATGGCCACTGCAGGATGGCCCCAGCCAGAGCCCAGTCCAGCAATCAGTGCCAGGGAGAAACCCCCTGGCTTCTTCCTCATCCCACCCTGTGCCATTTCCCAGAGCCTGCATAGGCCAAGACCCTCCAGAAGCCAGAGAAAGGGGTCAGCAGAGCCCAGGCCGGGTATGGGTCAGAGGGTAGACACGCACAGAGGTCCGTCCGACCAGAGCCAGTGAAGGTGTTAATGCCAAACCCAGTCACCCCACGTCACCCTGCTTCACTCCATCCCCTGCCCCAAACACACGGGAAGAAGCCTACACAGCCAGTCCTGGCACCACATCCCGCCATAAGATGCCTCCTGGCCCTGTGGCTGGTGCCTCTGCAAGGGAGAGGTGGCCCAGAGTCACTGTACTGGCCAGCGGACTTCCTGAGTCATACTCAGAGACAGGAGGGCCACTGGTTTTAAAGGCCCTGAGGTAGGCTGAGGTTGGGGGATCACGTTCCAGAGCCTGCCTGAGAGGTCTCTGGGTGTCTGTGGGGCTGCAGGCCTGAGGTGGGGGTGGGTTAGCCGAGTGTGTGAGGAGAAGATGCTTAGATATCCCTGTCCCAGACAGGCATGGAGCCGTGGAACTTGGGGCAGGGTCACACGGGTCAGCCGCGCAGCTCTGGCCCCTCCAGCGAGGTGCTACCTCTGGAGGGGCCGCCTGCCCTGCTAGACACTTAGGGAAGAGGTAGATTCTAGGAGAAAAGTGACCCCATGATGGCACCTGGCCAGACACTTTATGTCCAAACTGTGGAAAACGGGTTGCAAAAATTAGCCTCACGGCCAGTGGCTGCCTGGGAGATACTCTCAGCTTCTCCCTCCAGGCTCATCTTCTCGGCCTCCCTGAAAATGCACCAGTCCAGTCTGAGGCTCACGTGTCCCACACATGTGGAGGGTGCTTGTGCGTGGGGGCAGCTCATTACTTCTGCAGTTGGTGGCTGGGGCCCCGGGAGCAAAGGGCAGGGCCACACTGGTGTCCTAGCTGTCACTCTCCTCATAAAAGGCCCTTTGTTTTACTTCAGCTGTGTGTGCTTTGTTTTGGAAGTAGGATTTCTAGTTTGTTTTGAAGATAAATGTAGAAAATAGGCAAAACCAGAGCTCAGAAAATGTATCAGCCACGCCGCAGGCAAGCTGCTACAAGCCTGGCCCCTCCCTGTTCCCCATGAAGCCTGCTCCTCTGAGAGTGGGTGGTGGGATGGCTGGAGCCTCCAGAGCAATTGCCAAGAACATGGGCTCTTAGGGGCTTGACAGGGAGCAGGTGTGCATGCACCTTCGTCCCTGTAGCTTTGCAGAGCATGGGCTCTTAGGAGCTGGGCAGGGAGCACTGTGCGTGCACCTTCATCCCTGTAGCTCTGCAGAGCATGGGCTCTTGGAGCTGGGCAGGGAGTGGGTGTGCATGTACCTTCATCCCTGTAGCTTTGCAGAGCATGGGCTCTTAGGAGCTGGGTGGGGAGTGCTGTGCATGCACCTTCGTCCCTGTAGCTCTGCAGAGCATGGGCTCT